ATAACAGCAAATACACACAGAAACAAGTGAACACACACACAAACTCGCACACTGTTCCAACACAAGCCCTGATGCTATTGAAGTTATCTTTATCAGTTTGTAGCTATAGGTGACATTTGGTTGCCTTTTTGTCAGTTGTTGATAGAAAGGTTCATTTCACCGGTAGCTTCAAAGCAAAGAAGTAATGCATCAGAATGAATGTATGAATGTACCAACACAGGCTCATTCTGAAAATGTAGCCCTATATACATTTCTGAAGATCACGAACTATGTGGCCAGAAGTCTGTTTGGCTGCATTTTGTGTTTAAAATTAACACAACGGGGTGCCTTTTCGCACTAACAGCTGAACACTTATGTCTACATGGACAGCTTTTCCGCTGTTAAAAAAGTGGTTCTAGTAGCTCGCCATGTACATTGGTGAACGTTGGAGATGCAGAGAGGAGTTGACCACGGCGATGGGGTTCAAATTTGGCAAAGAACAGCTCAAGAAAGCAGGTAAGACAAAAACAAATGCCAAATTTTTTTTTTATAAATCAGTAAAATAATTCAGTAAATAGCAGGGTGAGAATGTGGTAAAATCTGAAAATGTGGTACAAATCAGGGGGCTTTTCGTTTTCTGGATTGCTTTTCGAAAAACTGTTGGTTGGGTTTATTGATGTGGGTGGGCGCGGGTCAATCAGTGCTTTTAAAAACACTATTGGTTGGGCTTAGAGAAGGGGGTGGGGTGGGGAGATAAGTCTGTTGGTCAGTCAGTCAGTCGACAGCAGCCTATAGAGCAGGGGTCACCAAACTTGTTCCTGGAGGGCCGGTGTCCAGCAGATTTTAGCTCCAACCCTAATCAAACACACCTGAACAAGCTAATCAAGGTCTTACTATGTATACTTGAAACATCCAGACAGGTGTGTTGAGGCAAGATGGAGCTAAACCCTGCAGGGACACCGGCCCTCCAGGACCAGGATTAGTGACCCCTGCTCTAGGGAATTTACGCAAGAAAAACAGGCATGAAAGAAATCTAAGATCTCAAATGCACACACAGCAGCCTCTGGTTGATTCGCGAAAACAACCACTGCAAAAAAAAAAAAAAAAAAAAAGTCACTTCTGTAACGTTTTTCACAATCTCTAGAAATGTATATAGGGCTACGTTTTCAGAATAAGCCTGGGTTGAAATGTACACTCATTGACCAGTTTACACCTTACTTTGCCTTATCATCTTGGGAGCATCATATATAACGGAAGATACATCGCACTATTCTCTTTATACCCTAGACATGATTGCGCATAACAATCAGATCAGAAATTTCTGAAATTCTAAGAACTCCATCTGACTTTGACAAACATCATCTTTATTCCTCATTTCAATTCTCGATATGAACTGTACCAGATTGTCTTGACCAGGATTATCCAATCCTGCTCCTGAGGTCTAATTACCTACTCCGAAACACTTGCCTACAGTAGAAGTGAAGACCTTAATGATGCAACCAAAAGGATGCTATCAAAATCGAATACTTTTCTACTATGGAGAATGTGGAAAAAAAAAAAGAAATAGTAAGTGAACCAAGTCGCAGCAGATCTGAATTTACTTAAATTAAAAGATCAGGTTGGAAGCGAGATTCCAAAATACACATTAGCATTGTAAGACAGAACGCTAATGTCTAAAATGTTCTAGTTTTTATTGGTTTGATGCCATTTTCTCAAGTAAGGTGTACATTTTCAATTATTTTAGAACAAAACTGATTTTTAAACTGATTACACATCTTTCGAGTCATTATTGTAATATGCATTTAGAACATTTGGTATCCACCAAAACACTACAGTAAAATATTTATTTTTTTCCAACATAGTACTTTAACAATTAGTTAATTTATAGCAAACAATACAAGGTACATCTTTCAAAGTCACACTCAGTTTTGAATGAACAATACTGTGATGTTACGGGACTCATACATTAGTTTCCTTTAGCTTAGTCCTTTATTTATCAGGGGTCATGACAGCAAAATGAACCACCAACTATTCCAGCATATGTTTTTTTGCACCGGATGCCCTTCCAGCTGCAACCCAGTACTAGGAAATGCAGCAGATACCCTTCCAGCTACAACCCAGTACTGAGAAATACCCAAAAACTTTCACATTCACACACACACACACACACTCAAACACTACGCTTAGCCAATTCAACTATGTCTTTGGATTGTGGGGAAAACCAAAACCCCGGGGGAAACCCACGCCAACATGGGGAGAACTTAATAACTCAACACAGAAATGGCAACTGACCCAGCCAGGACTCGAACCAGTCGCCCTCTTGCAGTAAGTTGTATCTTATAAATTATCAAACAACAATCAGACTAGTTGAAAATATCTAGAAATAATAAAATATTAACAGATTAAAGACAAATGTATTAAACAATGATAATAGATGCAAATGCATTACTACAAAGTTGTACAGTTATACTTTTGATGATCCCTTGTGGTAAATTTCTGCATTGTGATTTGCTGGGTTGGGTTCCACACCTCCTTTTTAAAATCGTACATTTTCGTACGACTGAACTCGTACAAATTCGTACGAATTAGCCACTAAATTGACAAAACGTAAAATGCTTACGTTTCCTCATGAGATCAGGCTGGACAGACCGGATCAAAAAGCTGATACGCCAAGCTTCCCAGTTCGCTGCATTGTAAAGTTCCAGCTTGTGAACTGCAAAATTGCATCACATGACTGTGTGAGACTAATCATAAATCAAGGCATGACCTCTCTTGAAAAAAAATTAAAAATGGACCAATCACTAAATTTTTTTTTAAATGTCTAATCATCTTGCTTTATACCACCCCTTTTCCCAGCACCGTACGACAGAATTTTGGAGGTGCAAACTCTAGTGCAGAGACACCCAAACTAGGGTCCACAGGCCAAAGTTGGTGCATGGTAACCTTTTATTTTGCCTGCCATCCCATCTGAGAAGAGATTTAAAATGAATCTTGGGAAAAATGTCTTCAACAGAGATTGTCATTTCTATTTTAACATAACCTTTTGATTGTTTGTTTAATTGTTGAGCTACAAAAAGCCAACTGAAAAAAAATGTTTCAATTAAATGCTGTGCATGAATCAGATTTTTAAAAATGTAAATGCTGTCACTCGAAGATAGAGGACAATACACTTGACGAGCAAATCAAGGCAAAGGCAGGTGCAGCTTGACTATATTTAGCATTGAACACCATTGTGTTATACATGTGTTTATGTTTTTATTGTAAGAAGTTCAATATAAAATGTAAACAAATGTATAATTATTAATACTATTCAAGGTTTTTTTCTATTTATTTTAAAATATTAATAAAGTAGGAAATTACTGAGGCAGCTTTAATGTAATCATTTGGTATATTTCCCTTTGGCCCTCCACCCTCAATCAAGTTTGGTTTTTGGCCCTTCATAAGAAAAAGTTTGGGCACCCCTGCTCAAGTGTGATGGCGGAATAAGAGTGTGTGTGGTAATTAATAAGTTACAAAAATGCAGAGAGAATTTTTACTTTTTCGAACAAGCTTAATTATCCATCACTAAATTATGATTTTAAAGGTCAGAAATGAAGCCATATGGGTGCACTCAAGAGCTTCTAATAAACCTGTAGAGAGCAGCAGCATTTCCATTAATCTCAAATGGCAGTTGCTAGGCTATCTGTCTTGAAAGCACAGGGCCCGGATCTTCCCTGAATGCTTTGACACAATTACTGCAATATAATGGACGTCTTGCGATACATTTGCTGTTAAATTTTTCTTTCCAATAAAGAGCTACTTTTCGTTGACCGTCAAAGCAGAAACATACTATTTGCCCGTTCCAACAAGGCAAACCTTGACCCCTTGAGTGCATCATTGTCAGAGTATTAACGTTTAAAAAGAGGTTTTTGAAATCTGCAATTTCCCGTGACACAGAGCTCTGACATTCAGAGTAGCCTGACCTTAATGAGTTGATGTTTTTCCATTTGATGCGCTGACCTACGGTCACGTCATCCTCTTGTGGCTATAGCTGGTGCTCTAATCTGTTATTAGTCTGTCTGCTTGTAAAAAAAAAAAAAACAGCTCCACTATAATGCCTCGTTTCAATTTAACTCATTTTGTCCTGATTAAAACTTTCTTCATTAAAATTAGGCAAAGTTTCGTGTCCCGAGGGAACCTATAAAATCCCTTTCCTAATTAAGTAGTATTAGCAGTAAAGACATCATCGCAAGGTGGCTTTAATTACTTTTTGACATTAATAGCATGAGACTGGATGCGGGTTTGTTGTTGATGGGCTAAATTTATATGATCATTAACACCTGCGTGCATTGGCCATTTTTTTATACGGGTTGAATGAAAGCGAGAACCGATAATTTCACTAGGAAGGCATCAGCAGTTTCTCATTTTATTGACTGGCTTCACTTCAGAGCCAACATCTGATTAACTTGTTTTTAATACTCCAAGGATGCTAATAAGGTCATTGTTATGTTGTCGACACAACTAGTTTTTGAATGTAATTTTAAAGAGCATTGAAATCACAGAGTCGAATGAAGCCAATGATTAAAGATCTTGGATAAATTAGCATAAACCAAGGCAGGTTGAATCAATAAAGGCAGGAAAAAAGGTCAGATTGTCAGATGTAGGTTCTTTAAATGCTAATGCTTTCTGTTCAGTTTTATGTAACTTCACTGGTCTTGACGCAAACAATGTCTAAGGGATAATAATCATCTTGAAACGCTCCATAATCTGTATCAAAGTGCTGTATTGACATCTAGTGGACAGGATGTGCACAGAGACGATAATAAATCTGCAACTTATTTGCTTAGATGAGTTTCTGTGAACAGATATGCTATTTATAAAACAACATATTAGCCTCTTGATATCAGTTAATATTCACTCAGCACTGCAAATCTCAATTGTCTGGTAATTCAGTGCTATCAGTCATTCTGCAAAGACTGTAATTGTGTGTGATGTCACCTCTTTTCACAAAGGCTCAGTCTGACTGATTGTCTATTTATAACAGCCGAACAGTGGAACGGTATTTACATCTTCACAGACCACTTTAAACAAACACAAGCCACACTGACATCGTTTGAGCAGCCAAGGGTAAGTGAGACTGACCTATATTTATACTTAAGACCCTTAACAATAACATAGATGTATAGACAAGTATAGTACTATGGTATTGACAAAGCAATGGGTGAATTTCTTCTCTGTTTGATATTTACAGGCTTAGTAAATACTAAAACAATCCTTGAAGGTGCATAGTGGGCCAGAGCATGTCTGCAGATTAGGTATTTTAGCTATTTCTGCACTTAATTTTATAAATAAATACATAAATAAATTAAATGAAAATCTGCAGAAGGTGTAGAGCTGAAAACCTAAATTAAAATAATACATTTTATATTATACAGTAGTAGGTCTCTCATACAAAACATCCACCAAAATAGAGAAAGTATTACTTTACAAATTGTATTGTGCATACATTTTAATAATATGTGCATGTTATTCAATAGTATTACTAAAAGTAATATAAACCAGAATAAATTTACACACATTTACACAGGTAAATAAATAGATTGATAGACGGGCTCAAAATCTGTGGATTTAAAAACAAATTTTGTATGAGCCTAGTTATTGTTCACCTTAGGAATTCTGCTATTCACATGGTCAAATAGCTTCAGGTTATACAGGTTATTCTCTCTCTTCTGGAAATCATAGTCTGATATGTAAATATGTATTCGGTGTAGTCTGATAATTGTCTTGTTATGTGGTTTTAAGCTGTGTCTAGTCTAGAAAGACAAGTCAATAATCGTCTAGACAATAGCAACACTGAAACATTTCCGAGACTTGTTTCCTTTCAGCGTCTATTCCCTTGTCTCATTACAGAGTCTATTTTCAAACACAACAAATATCAACAGTCATGGTAAGCTTCGAGTTTCATGCACTTTTGTTTTCAAACAAGCAAGTGTTATGTATCGAACAGTGAAAATGCAATAATGTGATTACCTCATACGTCACCTCCAGGGCAAGAATAGGACCACCAGTTCTAGTTTTCATCCTCACTGTGAAAAATGTCACAATTGGAACTGCAAGTTTCCCATAGAAATCTCAACATCTTGTATTTTCATTTCCTGCCGCTTAAACTGTGGAGCTGCCTTCCACCTTTGTACAGAGGATGAGCATCGTCTTCTATGCCCTAAAGAAACAGTACCATGCCTCAACTCTGGTTATGGCTGTCCCATGACTATGACACGAAAAAGACTTGCCCAGCACCTAGAAGTGTGTCCTGCCAGTGTGGTTACATGTACCTTGGAATGGAACCGATGGCCGGTAAATGAGACTGATACCACCTTCTATAGGAATGCTCTACAGGATCCAAACTGGATGAGTCAGCTAGACCTTGCAATGGCCCTTAGAGATCAGAAGCTTCTCTTTGATTCAATCCAGATGAAGACACTGTTCCCTGAGTTGATAGAGAAGGTAGAGGAGCCTGAGGTTTCACTGGACGGTGCTGTTGGAGGACTTGATCCAGAGTGCTCAGAGTCTCAGATCTTAATCCCAGAAGAGTCGTTGGAGGATAGCCTTAATGGAGAAGAGATCAAAGAACTAACCCAAGAGGAACGTCTCGCTTTGGCTGAGAGTAAAGATGTAGCCTGCTTGGAGAACTACGGGATATGGGAGAGAATGTTTGCGAAGGAGAAGCAAGGGTGCAATCAGACAGTGAAGAAATTAGAGGATAAAAGTTGTCAGATTAAAGACAAGAATTCCCCTCAGAATTCCGACAATCTAGACATTGATAGGACAGGTTTAGCTCCTTGGCAAGATGGTGTTCTTGACAGGCTCCGTAAAGAGGTCAACGTGGCTGAGTATAATATGTATCTGGTCCACAACGGATGCATGCTTATCAACTTCGGCCAACTGGCAGCTTGCACGCCTAAAGAAAAAGATTTTGTTTATGGCAATTTAGAGCCCATTGAAGTTCAAACCATACACTCCTTCAATGTGCCCACCAGCTACAGAGCCAAACGTAGCCATCTGAAGGATCCATCCCAAATGATTAAAAAGACACACCGATCTGTGGACACATCTGATTTAGGCATTGCAACTGAAGTGCTTCCAAAGGCAAAAGTGGTAGAATCCACACTGCTGTGCTCTCTTGAAAGAGAATAAAAAGGTCATCAGATTTGTGAGAGTATTGGGATCGACGGGCTATATGTTGACGTTGGCACCCAAACCTTTGACTTCCATTCTGCTCCATTCAAAAGTGATGCAACTTTGGCCAATGTTGTTGCAGATCAGCCTCAAAGCCTACACGTGCAAATTCAAACCGAATGTGTGACTAGGAGGCACAACAAATTATGCTCAGCCTTTACTTACCTGTGCCATCATGCCTTCAGGCGTGAAGAATATCCCTGGCACTTTAGGAACGTGCATGGAGACATCCAATCATGCCTTACTGGCTGGTTTTTACAGCGGTGCCCACTGGCTTACCTCGGTTGCACCTTTAGCCAGAAGCAATTTCGGCCATCTAAATATCATGCCATTGTAAGCTATGATGCAGATCTTAGTACTTTCATCTTACAACCAGAAGTGACAGCATCTCTTTACAAAGGAGTAAAAACCGTTAACAGTGAACGCAAACGTGCCAAGAATTTGGATTCCTTGAGCAGACTTCCTTTTGAAATCTTGCAACACATAGTGAGTTTTCTGGATAGCATGTCTTTGGGTCGTCTATCTCAAGTTTCCCAGCTAATGAGGGAAGTTTGCAGTACTGTTCTTCAGCAGAAGGGCATGGTGTCACTCAAATGGGAGAAAAAGACATACTCTCATGGTGGATTCACTTGGAGGGCACGTAAAAAGGTAATTGCCTTGATCAAATTGATTTCTTCATACTCTTCAAAGGTTCCAACTTTAAATCAGATGTTTGTTTGTTTTAACTATACACTTTCAGTAATAAAGGCACAACGGCTGTAACTGGGTTGGTACTTTTTAAAAAGCCACACGTTTGTACCTGCCAGGTCCAAATTTGTACCTTAAAGGTATACTTTTGGTACCTTCAAGGTACATATTAAGAGGGCTTAATTTTACCAGGCTTAAGCAATAAATTTTACAGATTTCCCGCTCCTCACATGCACAACCCCCTGCCCTTCACTTTCTTCCGCAACTCCCCAACCCTTTTCACTTTTGTCTGCGACCCCCTGCTCTACACTTTCATCCATGACACAACCTAACCCACTCCCTTTGGCTCTTCACTTTCGTTCGTCACCCCCCCACACACACACACACACTTTTTACTTTTGTTCCGCGACACCTCTCCCTCTTCTAGTAACATGCCGGATCTGTTACCCCGATCTCTTCCGGGACCTCGCAATTGACAAATTAAGCACCTAAAAGATACATACGTGTACTTTGTGGAACTTTAATGGTACAAAATTGGAACTTTTAGGTACAAAAGTGTACATTTTGAAAATATACCATCTCATTGAAAGATTTTGTACCGTTTATTTACGAGAGTGTACTATTTCTGTCAGTTCACTGTGTACTTACATCAAAAATTTATTGAATAATTTCTGCTTGAAAAACACTTCTACTGAGGTACGAATCGGGGCATTATATACTGCACACAACAATTTATAGAAGTTATTAGTTAATATTTATCTTCATATTTGAAAACATTCTTGTTAGCTGGGAAGTCCCGATTTTCTGTAAGTATTTCACATCAACTATGGATCATTTTCCAGTTCTTGTGAATGGGATGTTATTATTAATTTTGGTTAATACTCGACAATTCATTTAAAGATTCATAACAAGACTCTCATGAGTCTCCAAATCCTCTGCATAATCACAACCTTAAATATTTTCCAACCATGTCTAATTTTATTTCAGGAACATTAGCGGTATTGCAGGGCATGATAAGCATCCTAAGTATGTTTGTCCTCTGTTATCTGTTCTCTGAGGTATGTGGGTCAGAGAGCAGCAAAGAGGCCGTACATGGGTCATTTTACCCTCTCTGGCTCAATGTCAGTGGGCTTCATGCTTTTAAAGGTTTGATATTGGATGACAGGTGGTCAGTCCCCCTCTCTGTTTTTCTCCCCTCTTGATCCATTGTTTGGGAAGTAATTTATCTTCATGTTTAACCAGTAGGTGATATAACTTAAATTGAGGAAGTAATACTGATCAGGTGAGTGTTGAAGCGCAGTTGGAATTAATCTATGCAAGGCTGCAGCCCTCCAAGAACTGTGTTTGACACCCCTAATTTAAACTATCAGTTCCCCGATATATATATATATATATATATATATATATATATATATATATATATATATATATATATATATATATATATATAGTTTTTTTTTTTTTTTTTTTTTTTTAATAAATTACTGACCCTTACGTTGTTTCAGTCCCCTGAGATCTTCTTAACACAATTTAAGATATGTTAGATAAAATCAGGGAGCTCTGCATCCTCCATAGACCGCAATGCTCCAGAAATGTCCAAAGTCCAGATAAGAAACATTGTCAAAAAAAGTCCAAGCTCCCAAAAAACAAACATGTGTGTGCATGAAATGCTGTAAAAACAACTTTGTTCGCCAATGTCAGCAATGTGCGTTAGCTACAGGCAATTCAACACTTGCATGTTGCGCTTCTGATTCCAGTGGCAAATATGTCATATTGCCCATAGTAAAAACAGAGTATCAGAAGTTACAAAGTTATTTTAAATTGGTTGTGGAACATAGACATGTAATTGGAGCTTCGTGCAATTATATTTGAACTACTGAAGTCACATGAAATGTTTTGACAATGATTTGGTTTTGATAACTTCCTCTTATTTTTTGTACAGTAGGCTACTCTTGTTTGATTTGCACAAACTGACATGTGTCTCTAAAGTGGCCAAATATTTTTTAAGATCATCATTTTCAGTCATTACAAAAGCTTTAATAAAATAGTCCAGTGTTTAACCTGTAGGTGATATAAATTGAGGTTTGAGGAAATAATACTGATCAATCAATCAATCAATCAATCAATCAATCAATCAATCAATCAATCAATCAATCAATCACAATGCTACAGTTATGTACTGTAGACTTTCTAGTGTAAGTCTAGTGTAGTGTGATCATATGAAGCTCTAAGAACACTTTTGTGAACAAAAAAAATAAAAACTTTTTCCCAGTATACCCAATGTCATAAATCTGAGGGCGTTTGTTTACAGGCAAATACGTTCATTTCAGAACCCAAACCAGGAGACTCTTTTCAAGCTGAATTCTTTTATTCAAAATGCGTTGCTTGTTCTGCAGTCAAACAGGCGTCTTTAAAGAAGTCTAGAAGAGTCTACAAGAATCTAATTTGAGTCAGTTGTCCTGTCTATTTTATATGTTATGGGGGCAGAGATAATAGGTAAAGATAAAGAACTGGCATAACAAGTTTAGCTGCAAGTCTTGTTTAAGGTTTTGTATAGATCCTGAGGTTTGAGATGGCCTGAAAGTATCACTCAGACATTCATGAAGACAGGCACAGTTGTTGGGATCCTGCCAGTAGCTTTTGCATCACTTTGGGATCTGCCAATGTTCAGGAAGGCAAAAGTTTTAATGTATCTCATACCTGGGCTGCTAGAGTTTTGAATGAAATCATGTTTTTATAAAACCCAAAGAATATATACATTTACAGTTGTATATGTTATCATTATTAATTTGGAACTAGATTATATGCATTTTTTTTATTTCCACACATCACGTCGCTAACTTTAATGCCAAATACACTGATTTCCTGTAGAAAACAAGCAACCTAACATCATATGATTGCAGTTGGGACATTTAACTTTCTATGGATTGTTTTTTATTTATTTTGCACAGTGGCCTGTTTGGTTTACACAAACTGACAAAAAAGGTTACTTGAGTTTTTAAGATCCTAATTCCAGTCATTAAAAAAAAATAATAATAATAATAATTGAAATAGTGCTGATGGATACCTTCCTCATCTTCATCTAGGCATGGGAGTTCAGCAGTCTGTTCTCTCCGGTGGATAAATGGGTTTTTGAAGACATGCCCCCTATGGCAGAACACCTGAAGGTTTGTCCTTTCTACCAAAAGGAGATCAGAAGTGAACCTGTGGCGTTACCCAGTATGACAGATCTCCCGGAGAGAAGAGAGGAATTCCAGACTCTAGTCAACAATAGCCCCTTTCACACAGTGATACCGGTAAATATCCGGAAAATTTCCGGAACGACTTTACCGGTATATTGAAAAAAGCGCTGTTCACACAGGCGAGGACGTTACGGAAATTTTCCGGAAAAGAGCATTCACACATCCATTCCAAAATACCGGTAAATTCTGACATCATTCACCACAAATGAGCTTTAAACGGCTGCGCTTGTGTTTGTAAACATTTGACTAAATTACAAACTCTTTTGATGATCAATATTGTGAACAACTTTCACTGGATCATATTCGCATGTCGAGATGTTCATAATTTGTGCGTGTGCTGACGCTCACAGGCTGTTTCACTGGCACACGCAAAGCTTGAAGGTAAACAAACAACGGCTTATCATAAGCATCTTATCGATGATTATTTGCACAGTTGGCATTAAGAAGAACATATAAACGTGATCTGACTAACTTCTAGCAGCTAAATGTGTCTGGAAAAATATTCAAAGGCTTTTATTCTCACAAACCGCGCGGACGTAAATGCGTCTGACTGTTGTGATTGGCTAAAGCAGAAGTCTTACGTCAGCACGTTCTAGACGTGCACGAGCTTATTCCGGAAATCTTCCTTCTGCGTTCACACAGCGCAGCATTCCGGCAAATTGCCGGTAATGTTACAACTTCTCTTTCCGGAAAATAGCCAGAACGAATTTACCGGTATTTTCAAAAAGGACCTGTTCACACATACAACCTTTCCGGAAAATTGCCGGTAATTTTCCGGAAAGGTCTGTATGTGTGAAAGGGGCTAATGTCTTTACAGCTGACAAGGCTAATGGAGATTAAGAGACTGCTTGTGGTACCACTGTTATTAAATATGAATTTATGTTTTGGTCAGTTAACTTGTACTTTAAAGATATAGTTAATTTGTCATTATTTACCCTATAGCAGTCACTAGCAGGTTGCCTTTTTTGTGTTCCATAGAGTCATTTAGAAAAGTCTAACTCAAAGTCAGGACTGGAACAAAATTACAGTGAGGAAATGATGACATGTTTTTCTTTGAAAGATCTTCGCTGACATCTAGAGGCTGAAAAATACACTCACAAAGGTTTCACAATGGATAAATGCATACGGATTAAAGAGAAAAAAAGGGATTCATGTTCAAATATATATATCTTTTATCAAATATACTTAGAAAATGAATCATATGATGACATTATTTAAGTATCACAAAGCATAGCCCTAAAACAATCAAATTCAGTATACATTATTGTAATTTTTTTAATTAACCAGGCCAGAATAAATATGTTGTTTATTTTTTTGAATACATGTTACACTGACAATGGAGCACTATATCATTCGTATTTTGACAATTTCTGTCCACAAAAGTTATATAAAAGTGTAAGTGTAAACTTGGATTTAACATCTTTTCTATGTAAATTAAAACACTTTTGTAAATTTAATCTGATTAAAATGCAACATGTCTTCAGTATTTTTATACTTCACTAATAAAAATGCTTGTTTTGGGGTTTAATTTGTGTCATTACAAAATGTGCTATTCATATTAACACAAAGAATGTGTATAAAATGTAAAATATTGGACACGTTTATGTTTGAATATGTTTGAATATGTCATTAATTAAGTTTTATTAACATGTCCAGAAAGATATGATCATTTTAAAATACACTACCTGAAATAAGTTCGTCGCCTCTCCATGTTTTAGGAACAACAAATAACAACTTGACTTCTAGTTGATAATTTGGCATCAGAAGTGGCTTAAATGAAAGGCAAAGGCCTCTAGATTATTTTATTAAGAAAAAAAACATGATCATGCCTTGATTTTGAATTATTTAATTAGGAAAGTAAGGATAAACAGTATAAAATAGAAAGTCATGGTGAAGTAGAAAAATAATTATTGTTGTGTATGACTGCCATGAGCTTGGGTGACTGGATCTCTGCAATGACTCGAATAACTGATTAATAAAGACATCTGGAATGGCAAAGAAAGCGTTCTTGCAGCACTCCCAGAGTTCATCAAGATTCCTTGGAATCATCTTTCATGCCTCCTCCTTCTTCTTACCCCAGACATGCTCAATAATGATCATATCTGGTGATTGGGCTGGCCAATCCTGAAGCACCTTGACCTTTGCTTTCAGGAGCTTTGATGTGGAGGCTGAAGTTTGAGAAGGAGCGCTATCCTGCTCAAGAATTTGCACTTTCCTGTGCTTTGTAATGCAATGGGCAGCACAAATTTCTTGATACCTCAGGCTGTTGATGTTGCCATCCACTCTGCAGATCACTCGCACACCTCCTTGCTGAATGTAACCCCAGACCACGATTTGTCCTTCACCATACTTGACTGATTTCTATGAGAATCTTGGGTCCATGCAGGTTCTAATAGGTCGTCTGCAGTATTTGTGATAATTAGGTTGCAGTTCAACAGATGATTCATCGGAAAAATCTACCTCCTTTTTGAGGTAATGATTAATGATGATCAACTAGAAGTCAAGTTATGATTTGTTGCTCTAACAACTGGGATCAATAACAACACTTTTGTCAGGTAGTGTAGTTTATTGTTTCATTTTTGCATTCCCAAATAATAAGAATATATACACATTATGAGTATTGATTAATTTAAAAAAATCATAATTTTATAATATTACCAGTCTCACAAGTTTCTTGAAACTCTGTTTTTTACCTTATTGATTTAAGCTTAACAATGTATTATTATTATTATTATTATTATTATTATTATTATTTAATAAATAACTTTGTTTTTTTTTATTGCAAGATGAAAATGTAATTAAAAATAATAATAAAATAATAAGTTATATATACTTTAAGATGTAAACTTGCAGAATTGTGATTCCTGGGTCGAAACAATCTTGTGTATCCCACATCCCAAATATACAACAATTACTTGAAAACTCTTTGACTTTATTCACTTATGAAAACTACCAAATAAAACATTAACAAACTACTTTCCCTAAATACAGTTCATATATTTATGAGTATAATGCCTTTATTGCATTTCGGACACTTCTGGGTTGCGTAGTTTACTGATGACCTCTGACAACATGCGGTTACACAGGGCAGCGTAAGGGTTTAAGATCACAGCCTGCTGCCGGGCAAACTCACTGCCCAGAGCTGCTGCCCTCTCAAAATCTAGCCGAGCTTCTTCATCATGACCCGACAGCCTGAGAAGAAGCCCACGCTGAACCAGAGCCTGACAGGCTGAGCGCCCTTTGCCATTACTGAGAGAGATGGCATGCTCCAGATCTTCAACTGCACCTAAGAAACATAATAGGTTTAATACATACAATGTACAAAAATGAATTAGTTGCCTCATATAAATTTTCTAAAATGTAAACATGTCTTACAGGAAAGGCAACATTAGTTATTTTAAATATGAAAGCTTGAAAGACAGATTACTGTTACTGACTAATAAGTAATATTATTACAATTTTTAAAAAGACAGAAAACATAAAAGACATCAATTATAACTGATATTTCTTTAAAAACAAAAACAAAAAAAAACATATTTGTTGAGTGTTCTTTAAGTGTTCTGTCAAGATATTTGTGGTAGATAGTCTTTCTATGTATGCCAGAGGAAGGGACATTTATCAGAAGAGAAAGCAAAAGGAGGGAAGGAAGAAATGAAGGAAGGAAAAAATATATATATATTAATTTAGAACATTATTTGACTCTAATTTAAAAACAAGGCAAATAAATTCCCAGTTTCAAACTGCAAAATATGAAATAAAATATAAGATGTGTATTTGGAATTACAAGAAAAATGGTAAACTTTCTAAAACAATTAATTTAAATACGTAGCCGTATAAGTCAGAGAAAGACAGAGCTGCAAACCCAAATAAAATTGCAAGAATATATCTAAGATTTCTAATTTGTTTTCTCCCACTCAGAATTGTGATAATTGTATGATTCACAATTTTACACATAAATAATATTTAATTTTAGTTTTTTAACTTAACTTTATTTTATTTAAAAAATAATAATAACCTTGACCTGAAAAATAAAATCAGAAAAGGTTTGTTTTATGTTTCTCTTCTATAAACAGGCTTCATAGCTTGTTAAATGGAGTAAAATGTATTATATCACTAAATGATGAATTATTCTAAACGTGTCATGACATTTGTTAAAAAAAATAATAATAATTGTGAAAATCTTAATCAATATTTTGCTGATGTAAATGCAATTTGTCTGAAGAGAAATTAAACTTGTTAGTGTTTTACAGTCACTTCACATAAACAAACAAACAAACAAACAAACAAACAAACAAACAAATAAATAAATAAATAAATAAATAAATAAAACATTAATTAGTAGTATGTAATTATCTGGTGTTTATTTTTTGTTTGTTTATTTGTTTTGTTTGTTTGTTTCAGTTGACTTATTCTTTCAAATTGCATTATGGGACCTTTATATCTGCATTGACCAATTTTTACTTGACAATTTTAACAAAGAGACTTTTTACTGGCACTTTAGTGGTCTGTAGATTAAGTTGAACAGGTAAATTAATTAATTAATTTTCCTTACCGTTATTCATCTGGGGTCGCCAACTTATCCAGCATGATGTATTTTTGGGAAACATTCATACACACTTAATCACACACATACGGCCAATTTAATCCACCCGTAAAACAGAGCCCCCGGAGGAAACCAACATGAACACAGGGAGAACATGCAAACTCCACACAGAAATGTCAACTGACCCAGCCAGGACTCGAACCAGTGACCTTCTTGCTGCAAGTCGACAGTGCTAATCACTGAGCCACTGTGTCGCCCCTTGAACAGGTAAATTATGATACTAAAACAAATTAATATCAATTAATTTCTGTATACACGGTCAATATATTGTTTTAGATCTCTAAAAGTGTGAATAATTAATAACTGTAATTTTCAACATGAAAAGTTGATGGAGCAGATATCAAAATACCAAAATGCAGTTTGAAAGTATATAATAGACTTTTTTTACAGTGTAGCCTAACACATGGCAATTAACCAGCCTGATCTCACGAGAAAACGTAAGTATTTTACGTTTTGCCAGTTTAGTGGCTCATTCGTACGAATTCGTACGAGTTCAGTCGTACGAAATGGTACGATTTTAAAAAGGAGGTGTGGCACCTGACCCCACCCCTAACCCCAACCGTCATTGGGGGATAAGCAAATCGTACTAAATTGTACGAATTAGATAGTAAGAATTCATACGAATTAGCCACTAAATGAAAAAGTTACGAATTGCTGTGAGATTGTGTTGCAATTAACATGTCCTTCCATGATGGTCTATCCGTCACCATTAATATGTTTCAGAATTTAAAATTGGAAAGCTGATTGTATCAGAAAAAGCATAGATGTGTCACCTTTGGTGTCTCCCAGTAGGCGTTTGGTCTGGGCTCGGTTGTTGTAGGCTGAAGCTCTTTGAGGAAGGACACTGATGGCCTGATTAAAATGTTGAAGAGCAGCAGGCAGATCTCCAGACTCAGCAGACGAAACTCCCTGCAGTTCCAGATCTTTCACCTGCTTCACCAGCTCTGGGTCAAAAGCACTGTCTAAAGAAAGACGGATATGAAAGAAATACAAAGGGGAATATGCAGCTTTATAGCATTAAAGACTTTTAATAAAGACGCAATATAAAGTACAACAGTCTGTCTTGTTAATGGTTATCTAAAATAATGGTTATCTAAAATATTAGTAATCTGAAATTTAAGATATCATTTTCTTAAAAGTATTAAGGTAATATTGTCCATCTATCTATCTATCTATCTATCTATCTATCTATCTATCTATCTATCTATCTATCTATCTATCTATCTATCTATCTATCTATCTATCTATCTATCTATCTATCTATCTATCTGTTCATTCTTCTACCATCTATCCATACATCCACCCATCGTCCATCCAGCCTTCCATCCGTCCATCCATCCATCCATCCATCCATCCATCCATCCATCCATCCATGCATCCATCCATCCATCCATCCATCCATCCATCCATCCATCCATCCATCCATCCATCCATCCATCCATCCATCCATCCATCCATATATTTATATTTATATCTATCTATCTATCTATCTATCTATCTATCTATCTATCTATCTATCTATCTATCTATCATCCATCCCGCCATCCATCCATTTTCCTATTTGTCTGTCTGTCTGTCTGTCTGTCTGTCTGTCTGTCTGTCTGTTTATCTATTTATCTATCTATCTATCTATCTATCTATCTATCTATCTATCTATCTATCTATCTATCTATCTATCTATCTATCTATCTATCTATCTATCTATCTATCTATCTATCTATCTATCTATCTATCTATCTATCTATCTACCATCCTCCATCCATCCATCCATCTATCTATCATCCATCCATCCATCTATCTATCATCCAACCATCCATCCATCCATCCATCCATATGTTTTCCTGTCTAGCCACCTATATACCTATCCATACATACATTTATCCATTCATCTATATATCTATCTATAAACTCTTTAAAAGTGCT